AAGGTGGTTGACGACATCTATAGACCACTTAAGTTATACTGCGATAATAATCCGGCAGTACAGTATGCTCACAACAATAAGCTAAGTGGTGCTGCCAAACACATTGACATAAAGTATTATGTTGTGAAAGATAAAGTCCGGGATCATATCATAAGTCTTGAGCATATAAGTACCAAAAAGATGCTCGTAGATCCGCTTACAAAAGGCTTATCACCCAACGTGTTTATAGAAGATGTAGCCGGCATGGGTTTAAGGGAAAGCCTATAATTTCTGGACAAAAGAAGGCCCAAAGTTAAATATCTATTTCATAACAGAGTGGTGTGTTGTAGTTGTTAAATCTATCGGTAATTGACCGTGACGATGAAACATGCTTTATGCGCTAATCTGTAATAGAATAAACAAAAGTAAATGATATGAAATTAAAAGATGGTAGGAGATTAAGGGAGAGATTGTTAGATTGATCTCTAATTCCAAACTGGGCCCAATGATCCAGTTGGGCCTTTAATCCGCGCCCTGATCGGGGGCGGCCAGCCCACTATGGCTAGAGGGTCCCTGTCACACTACGCAATAAATAGAGGTGGGGGCGGCGGCTCAAGTCATGAGGTTCGCCTGAGCCGAGCTCCCCACCGACAAACCCTAACCCGATCAGAGAGGGGCGCAGCCAGTGACGGGAAGCACCTCCACCACTGCACTGCGCAGCCACCGGTCTTCACCGCCGGTCGCCACCGCCCATCACCGACACCGTCTTCACCAACCATCGCTGCCCTAGCGCAGACACCGACGCAACGTCCATGGCAGACGCCTCTGGATCGAAGGCCTACGATGATCGGTAACCTAGCACTCCTCCTCCCTCTAATCTCTGTCTAGTTCATGTACTAGAGCATGCAATTTATTTATAAGAAGTACCCGGCTAGATCTATGACATTGTGATTAGAATAGTTCAACAAACCATTCACATCAAAGCCGAAGAATAGGCTAATCAACGAACTAATGACTTATTTCGTTGTGTTCTCCTTACTAATACGCTACTTCAACTGCCTCTTGATGAAATGACTAGGCACCTAGGTGCTACGGGCCAGCTTCAAATAATCTCGGCAAGACATTTTACTACTAATTGCTTCGTGTATGTATGAAACATTGGTTTTTGTCAGGATTCTAATTTTAATCCATTCTTCTGTATTATTATTGTGCTTACAACAGGCATGTAATTTGAAGCATGGGGGGACTGACTAGTGGCCCACATGATGACCCGCCGAACGAGAATGATGGCGCGTCGCTTTGCTGCCCCTGCCCTGCTCTACGAATGTCGTCGTTGTGATTTGTGAACTCCCTCGGCTGCGGAAGCAGATACTCCTACGTACGTAGTATGCGCCAACCCTCAGAAAATAAGTACTAGTACTGTAAAAATAAGTGCAGGCATGAGAAAAAAGAGTTATTATTTTTTCGTTCTAGAAAATAGTTATATTTGAATAACAGATAGAGTTCTTTCGAGTGCATTCAGAACGGCCTATGTTCTTACCCTTGAACACTGTGTGTGCCCCAAACAAACTTCTCAAGCCCATGTGCGCTAACAATGGCCTGAGCAAGCCTAGCCCAAAAGAACCCGTTGAGCAGCCCATTTATAGAAGTGTGCACAGAAATCATGTCTGAACAGACTACGAGCGCGTTTAGTTGGCGTCCCAACCACGTCGCAGCTCGCCGCACTGTCGTCTACCGTAAACAGGTTCCCAGGAGGAGTGGGAACATCTGAATCAAGCAACTTGTCATCCAGCAACATCATCACTCGGGATGTCAGCTTGATAGATTTGGACTCTTTGAGGAGCTACTGTTTGGCCCGGTCGCTTGTCCGCGTTCTCCCAAATAGTTAAATGCCTGACCCTCTTTGATGAGCTACTGTTTCGCCGTACCCGTCGCCGGTCCGCGTTCTCCCAAATGCTCCCAGTTAAAAGTCTCTGAACCTTCCTGAAGATGCAACCGACATCGCCTGTTTAGATGCCGATTTTTTTTACAAAATGACACAGGGCATCAATATTATTATGCTCCCAGTACCAGAAGTCTCTGCACCTTGAACTTTAAAAGATTCGAAGAAGCTCTAAACATACATTCGCAAAATCTCAAATGGTTTGGCTTTAGCGCCAGCAAATTCAGGCCGTACGGCCATCCAGAAACATGACAGAGCTACTAGCAACATTACATCTCCCAGAAATATCAGCTTCATTCTGCGCTAAATGAACATTTGTGTCCAAACGACGAGCAGCCGATGGCGCCAACTCTGGTGACGAGATCGCCTTGTCCGTCTTCCATTGTAGTTGAGGCGGATAGCTTGCGTGAATCTCCAAACGCCTTGCAAAGTCCTCCACTTGCGCTCCCATCTCCTGCTTGAACAGCGGAATCCATCGCCGCAGCATTCTAACAGTCTTCAAAAACAGCATCGACAGGCCTATCCACCTTACTCCCTGAAAGTAAATTTCATTCCGTAATTTCCATATCGACCACAATATAGCTGAAGAAATGACATTCGTCAGTACATGTCTCTTATGAGCAAGCCAAAAACGAGCCACTGATTCAAAATCCGACCCTATATCAATACCCAGGAGCTCAGAGACTACTTTCCAAGTATTATTAGCAATACAACAGTCAAAGAAAAGATGACAGATAGATTCATGTTCCGCAGAGAAGATGCACGAGCGGTCACTAATCTCTCGATGCTTAGCCAAATTATCTCTTGTTAACAATCTATTATTTGAGAGTAATCAGAGGAAGAATTGTACCCTAGGAGGTATCACTATTTTCCAAACTGCACTCACAAATCTAGGAACGACCCCCCTGTGATTAATCACAGCATACAGGGTCTGCATAGATTATTTTCCAGAGGAAGTAAAACTCCAAAGCAAGTGATCCTGCTCTTCAGAGAGCGAGACCCCTTCAATCAAACCATAAAGTTCCCAACACATATTCATCAGGTTACTAGATACATTCCTCCTAAAGGTGAGCATCAAGTTTTCACCATCCCGGGATATATGAGGCAGCGGATCTCGTTGTTGATGGGCATGTTTGACCACAAACAAACCAACTAGTTGAGCTACGCTTAGTTTGCACCTCTTTCATTTTTCCAAACTATCATGGTATGATTTTTCTACTTGTAACTTTAGAATCGGACGGCTTACCTCTCAACTTTTCAAATTGTTTAAATTACCTCCTGCCATGGTTATAAGTGATTGACGGTGGTTTTAACCTTTTTATTAAAAACTCCAATAAGTTACGTGATAAAATTTGAAACTAGAAAAATGTCCCTAAACTTATAAAATTTAGTGGATATTCTAGATATAAAGATTGGGGCACGATAAACCAAAAATCTATATAGAACTGGTGAAAACATCTCTAGAAATTTCCAAAAATAGATTTAGATCTAGGAAAAAGGAAAAATTATCCTGAAAAATCTAAAAAAACCCTAAAATATTCCAATCAATGCCTAAACACGTTTTGAAGAAGTTTTCACAACAATAAGATGAGATGCAACCATCATGAATGCATTTTTCATAGCATTTAAGCTAGTTGCATCTCATATTTTTGTTGGACAGGTTTTGAAAACACATTTCTTAAGCTTCTAAATATATTTTTAGTTTTTATGGTTATTGTTCCTATTTCCTAGAGCTAAATCTGATTTGTTAAGCTTCTAAATATATTTTCATGAGCTCTAAATATATTTTTTCATGTCCTAGTCTATCTCTAGGATTTTCTCATAATTTTTAAGGGCTTAGAGACATTTTTCGTCACTTAGAAAATCTTATTAGGTTTTTACATTGGGTTTTTTAACTATAAAAGATGAAACGACCTCGAAAAACAAATCTAACCTAGAGGTAATTTAAATGGTCTCGAGAGTTGAGGGTGTAAGAGCATCTTGAAGAGTCTTTCTAAAATTTACTCTCTAAGTCATCAAGTCATTTGAGTAAATATGCAGTAACTTTTATATATCTTGTGTGCAGTCTAGAGAACCATCCTCGCTCTTCATCTTTTGCTACCGAGAAATCTAGAATAAAATATGTCAATATTTGGAGATCCAATTAAAAATTTTGCTGGAGGGTATTTGTCACCAAACAACCTGTTCGGTTGGCTGGTTCATATCGTTGTTGGTTCGTGAAGAAGTACTGCTGGCTGGTTTGTGTGAGAGAAAAATACTGTTCCGGCTGGAAATTTACGATCCTATACGATCGTTTTCCTCCAGCCGAACAGGCTGAAAATTTCTATTCGTGTAAATCAAAAAGAACTTTTTTCTAGGTAAAAGAGACTTTTTCGCCTAATGACCTGCTCAAAGGCCCCGTTCACTGGTTTGAAACTTGACTGAAACTGACTGGTTTTGTGAGAGAAAAACACTATAGCGGCTGGTTGATGAACAGTGCACCTGTGAGGAGGAGGAGCCGGCTGGTCTGGTTTTTTCCAGACCAGCGAACGCAGCCAGACCCTACAAACAAGTCCTTCCTTGAAACTGAAATGTGTGTGGAAATGATTTAGCAAAACTGGCGGGAGGAAAATTTTGATTTGGACCAAATTTAGCGCCAGCCTAGGACATTATTATTATTTTTTTAAGTCCCTCTCAACATAGACAAGCACAAGTACATGCAATGCAACGCATGTAAATCCTCACACGTGACTAACACAATTCACACTAGTGCTCCTACCATTTAATCTCAAATTCTCAATCCTCAGGCACCACCAAGGTGTTTGGTTTGACGAATGGTAACGCTAACGCAAACGAAATGGAATTACAGCGTGATCGGAGCTGTAATTTGTGATTGCAGTCTTTGTTTGGTTCTATAAGGTAACGATATGCCATACCATTTTGAAAATAAAAAATTGCAGCCAGAGTCGTCTTCTTCCTTTAGACACCAGAGCGCAAGGTGGTCGCAAGGTGGTCTTCTCCCTTCCGTGATCTGATTTACATTACAAAATGGCGAACCAAACACCTTGCACAAGTTTTAGGATCCGACAACCAATTTTCACTAATCACTGCATTTTTGCTGACATGATACAACGCCGATATGTTCTAAACTCTCTCCTGCCTCCGATATCTCAGCAATTATGCTCTTCACTGCGAAATCGGTACTGAAGAAACCATCGTGATGGACGCCGGGCAACCTAACAACCTTGAAGACCTGGCCTTCCACTTCCGACCATCTCTCGACAGCTGCCAGGCTTACCATGTTGATGTCCCCGTCGCCGTCGCCGTAAAGCACCTCGGCTTCCCCCTCGAGCCCATCGGTCCCGAACACGTACGTCTCGGGCGTCCTGACACCGAACCCGATGACGCTGGTCACCGGCACCATCGGCGCCGGCAGCGCCTCCCACATCGGCAGCACCCGCGTCAAGTACGGCCGCACTCCTTCCGCGAAGCCGATGGCCTCGAGGAACCCCGACATGTTGCGCGCCGAGTAGGTCGCGGTCCTGGTCACCGCCAGCGGCCGGTCCCCGAACACCAGCGGCGTGGGCAGGCGCCACAGCGCGCTCTGCTGGCTCCGCGCCAGCCGGAGCATCGTCGGCCGCGTGACGTTCGGGAGGCCGTAGTCCATGCCGGCGCTGAGGGCGTACATCCCCGCGGCGAACCCGCCGAGCGCGGGGCCCAGGAGGACGACGCGCTTCACGTAGCGGCGGCGCCAGGCGAGCGGGCGGGAGAGGAGCAGCTGGTAGGTGAGCGCGCACCCGAAGCTGTGCGCGACCACGATGGCCGGGCGGCCCTGGTTGAGACGGCTCGCTTGGATGAGGCGCCCGAGGTCGCGGAAGTAGCGGTCCCCCACCGCGGACGGGTGGCCCGGAGGCGCGACGGCGTAGCGGAAGTCGTACGGCGCGGCGTAGAGGGTCTCGCCGTCGCGGTAGCCCATGCCTTCCAGCCGCGGCACCAGCCTGTCCCACCTGGCAGAGGGATACAAATAGGCCGTGCTTATGCGTCAGTCCTGTCACACGCATCAAGTGGGACCAGCACGGCAGCACCAGGCTTGCCGGTGAAAACGTGACAGTGTAAAGGACGACTGAAAGTGACGCGACACAGGTGTGCGGTTGGTGGAACGTAGGGCTCACCCGATGAGGGCGCGCGCGGAGCCGAAGAACGGGGTCCGGGTAGCGACGCCGTCGGCGTCGCGGTAGTCGTCGGCGCCGGCGTCGTAGACGAGGCTCATCTGGTCGGCGAAGCAGGGGACCTGGCTAGCATCGCGCATCGCCGCGTGGTTTGGCCAGAGCGGGAACCAGCGATGGTCCGCGGCGCCGGCACAGGCAGGCGCCGGGGGCTCGTACGCCGCCGTCATCATCGCTTCCAGCTGGTTGGAGCCGTACCCCGGCACGAGCACGACCGGGTGCAGGTCCCCGGCACCCGCGTCGCCGGAGCGGCTCCCGAGTGGCTGGGCCAGGAGCGCCACCACGACGAGGAGCGCACGAGCGAGAACCATTGGTCTGGCCCTTGGTGGTAGCATGTTCTTCTGAGATATTTTTACGTCTCTCGTCTGGGCCACGGCCGACAATTATAGAGCTCCGTCCCTCTCCATCTACGTATTCCGCGCCGTTGGCTTCGCTGAAAAACAAACTAAAATATTGTTCGGACTGATTTATCGTGAGAGAAAAATAATATTCTAACTAAAAAACAAGTTGAAAAGTATAGATTAAAGGACCTCACCTTTCACCGTGGATCGACGTCGACGACGGAAGCCTGAAAGACCGTGTCCTGCTGTGCGTATCTTCTGTATCGACAACACTGACCAATCAAATCAAATCCACCGATACGGGTTTCTGTTAAACAACTGTGCCTCGCAGCTCACCAAAGCAATGCAGCATCTGCCCTGTTCGATCTGGTCTGCTCGAGTGCTCTTTCCCCATGAGATAGGCGGTGTGAACGCTGAGATTGTACAGGTAGGAATCCGCCATCCCTTTGCTCTGTTCCACATTTCTGGAAACACGGTGACACTTCATGTACTCCTCTGTGTCATTTGCTAGTAGTAGGCGCTAATGTGATAGCCGCCTGTTTGGCACGGTGAGCTATTTTTTTTTTCTCCTAGACACTTATTTTTAAAACAGCTTTATGATTGAAACTGTTTTTTCCCCTCCTTTACAAAGACATGAGTTGAGATGAAGCTAAAAATAATAGTTTATTCCAGCTCTCTCATGAGCCGCTGAGGAAGCTATTTTATCAAACAATTTTTGCAAAGCAACCTAACTTCACTAAAAAACTGCTTGTAAAACTGGTTTTTCCAAAAAACAGTTTCACTAATAAAGCTGAGCTGTGTTAAACAGGCGGCAAAACAGCGTCACGGATGGAACAACCCAAGTTGAGATCATAAGCGTTCACTATTTACTTCTTTCTAGTAGTGGATGGAATTTGGGCGCGCGCACATCATGATCGGCAGGACAGGACAAGAGCATGCTGCGTTTGGCACTTTGGATGGGTTCGTGACGGCTTTGTGTGCACGCGATAGCCTTACGCAGTTACACTAACGACACAAGCACATCTCACTTTCTTTTTCTTCGAACGTATTGATCTAGATACACGGTTGCGGCAGCTGATCCATCAGTCCATGCACTATGCGTCTATGCGTAATTGCTTGGGGGTCACACTGGCACGTAATGGCAGCGGGAACCATTTATTCCTTCATCTTGTCCGTCCAACTCCAGCTACGCGTCAGCTCAGAGGCAACAATTATAATACCTCTTTATAATTTCACCTATAGAAGCAAAAAAGGGCTTGACTAACTCGTTTCTCTGAAACCTTTTTACAATTTCATCAATTCAGTTCAAACATGGAAGGCTACAAATAGATACCCATGGCAGGTCTCTAATTGCTGCCCGCAATACTGAACACATGAACCATTGGTCAGTTCTGAGCTTCGGATAATTGACAAACAATAGAACAATCTTTAAAAAAAATCAGATCTAGCACCCCTTCTGTAAGCCTTGATCTGACACAATCGAACACTCAAACAACAAGTCGAGTGGCCAAACCCTAGATCAATAGGGCCTTTCGCTCTCCTACTCTCGATTGTAACTCTCTTGAGCATTCTGACACGAAAAACTCTCTCTTGGACGTAGGGCTTCGAAGGCCAAACTCGGATAAACCTTCTTTGTATCCTGAGTGTTAACCACTGAGGTCCCACACATCGACCACTAATCAATAGCCCTGGCTACGAACCCACGGCAACATAAGTGTGCATGTGTGTTGCATCATCATTATCAAATTTCCATAGGCAACCCAACAAAAGAGAGCAAACTTGCATGCATTAGCACCTCATTTCTTGGAGAAATCTATGGATTTTTTTACCAACGCCGTTAACGAACAAGCTATGACATAGCTATGGTAACGGTGTGTTTCTTTGAGAAAACTAATCACTACTAAATTGTTTTCACCAACGTGGTTTAGCACATGTGTCGGTGTTTCGGACCGGGGGTCCTCAACCAACCAGTAAATGTGAACTGCGTACCCCTAATCTCGGATGGTGATGCAAAGAGACACAAGGTTTATACTGGTTCAGGCAATCGGTGCCCTACGTCCAGTCTAGGAGATCGATCTTGTATTCTTTGCACCGAATTGCTTGTAGTAGGGGTTACAAGCTGGGTGAGAGAGGGAGCTAGTCCCAGGTCTCGGCGTGGAGTGGTACGGGCTGCTTGGGTCGTTGCTCTCAGGCAGCGTGGGAGCGTGCGTGAATTGAGTGAGTGCGTTTTGCGCGTGAGGACCGACGTGGTCTCGATCCATAGAAACGGCCCTGGCTGCTTCCTTTTATAGCCACAAGGAGAGAGCCAGGAGTACATGAGAGAGCTACACGTGGGGCCTTAGCGAGGAAGGAAGATCCAGTACTGTGGCATATTCCTGTAGCAGCACAGTGTTAGGAATGACAATTGGTACTTGATCACTGGTGCGTTATGCCGGCCATGCCTGAGGCTGTTGAAGTCGTAGGGGTCCTCGTTGACGTTTAGTCAGCATGGCCTCCTCTGTAGGTGACATGCCGTGCCTTGTGAATTTTTGACTTGGTGGCTCACCGAGGCCTGGCAGGTGTTTATGGCCAACCGCGCCGAGGCTTGATTTGCCGAGGCCTGGGAGGTGACCCGAGTACGATCGCGCGCGGTCTCGGTGGTCGTCGTGCATCTTTGGTTTAGGTGGAAAAGTGCGAGGCGTGTGTCCGCAAAAGCATGGTAGTCCCCGCACCGTCGGTGGGGAAACGGTAAAAAGGAGATTTGACCGCCGTCCCCATCGCCCCTCGTTACTATGCCACCGCCAATCGTGGGTGACGCGTAGGCGCAACCGTGGGTACTTACACGGATGGGACGGCCCGCCAGAGGGGCGCGATTGAGGCGAAGACGACGAGGATGCGGGACGAGCCTGGCCTCGGCCGAGGCGGAGAAGGAATAGTACGTCTGAGACCACGACGGGGGGTCTCGAACGAGGCGTAGAACGACGGCGATTGGGCTCTCCTGTGTGGTTTCCGAGACTACTGAGGACATGAACTTGACCTTCCATGCTACTTTGTCCTTGGCACGGGGGTTAGGTAGCACGATGATGAGCACGATGGCGGTGTAACCCCTGCTGCGCTCGGTCCCCCCTCCCGTTGGTCGTTACTCGCCTGTACTAGACCCGAAAAGTCTGGTGACGCTTGCGGGAGTAGTTAGGCGATTAATCTGGGCGTGACGTTTAAATCGAGAGGAGTTTGGTCGGGACGGAGGTTACGAGTATGTTTGCCGAGCCCGGCCTCGAGCGAATCGGAGAATTGGCATCTCATCCGAGGCCTTTCGGGGCGAGGCCTCAGCGAGAGGGTCTCGGCGAGAGGGCCTCGGCGGGGCGCTTTTGGCCTTTCGTATGAGGCCTCAGCGCAAGGCCTCGAGCGAATCGGAGAATTCTGCAGAGACCTGGCGGTAGTCTTTTGACTTTGATTTTTGCAAGGTTTAAGCAATATTTTTGGTTCTTGCTTAGGGTACCCCTTCTTGTGGTATCCGACAGTAGCCCCCGAGCCTCAGGAGGAGTGCGGGCACTCTCCTGAGGTTTTGACGAGACTTGGTTCGCAACAGCTCCTGTCGGGATCGTGTTTTGTACTTGGTGGTTCCGGGTGTGCGCTGCTGAGCGCACTCCGGCCGTGTAGTTTTTTCGAGGCCCCTGGAGGAGTGGGTTTACTCCTCCAGGGGCTTTTTTTCGTTTGAGCAAGGAGTTTTATCGTGCTTGCTGGGCCCGTGAATGCGAGTTTGGGTCGCTGGGTCTCGACAAACTTGTAGGAAGAGCCCCCTAGCCTCTACACAAAGCGAGAGGGCCATCAGGTGCTCTCCTGGCTTTTTATACACCTCTCACGCGTGAGGGTTTGTTTGCTGAAACCCCCTCGGGTGCGAGCCTGGGTCGCGGGGCCTCAGCATATCTGCAGGAAGAGCTCCTTAGCCTCTCCCCGAGCAAGAGGGCCGTCAGGAGTACCCCTGGCTTTTTGTACGACCCTCGCGCAACCTTTTCGTTCGGAAGGAGGGGTTTGCTTGCTGAGCCCCCTCGAGTGCGAACCTGGGTCGCTGGGTTTCGGCAAAGTTGCAGGGAGAGCCCCTTAGCCTCTGCGGGGAGGTCCGTCAGGGGTTCCCCCTGGCTTTTTTATACGATCCTCGCGCTTCCTTTTCGTTCGAAAGGAGGGGTGGAATATTCCAGGCTACCCTCGGTGGGCGCGAGCGGTGACACTTCCGGTGAGCTGCTATCGGGTAAGTCCGAGTGGAGGCCCGTGCCCCATTCGATAAGGGTCGGCTAGCAGTCCAGAGATGCACTCCAAAAGTACCAGAGGGCTTCTCTATTGGGTCCCAGGGCCGTTCGATTGGCCCCGGGGGCTCGGTGCCTCCCTACAGTGGGATCCCATTCCGAGAACTCCTTGCTAGGTCTCGAACACGACTTAGGGCATCCCGAGCGATCGCTTGCTCGGGCCACGGCCATGTACGGGCTCGCCCATAGTTGTCCCTGACTCTGTTGTCCTGGGGCGGCTGTCGAAACCCTCGGTGGTCCAGCCTTCGAACCCTTGGACCGTAACGGGCTCGGCGCCCTTTTTGTTGCTTTTTTCCGAATCTATGAGTGCGGGCTTGGGTCGCTTGTCCTTGTCTTGGGTGCAGAAGGAGCCCCCGAGCCTCCGCACGAAGCGAGAGGGCGATCAGGGCCCCCCCTGACTTTTTTGTTCAGCCCTCGCGCATCCTTTTCGTTTGGACGGGGGGGGTTGTTTGCCGAGCCCACTCGTGTGCGAACCCGGGTCGCTAGGTCTCGACAAACCTGCAGGAAGAGCCCCCTAGCCTCTGCACGGAGCGAGAGGGCCGTCAGGTGCTCTCCTGGCTTTTTATATGCCTCTCGTGCGTGAGGGTTTGTTGGCTGAGACCCCCTTGGGTGCGAGCCTAGGTCGCGGGGCCTCAGCATATCTGCAGGAAGAGCTCCCTAGCCTCTGCCCAGAGCAAGAGGGCCGTT